TTTGAAATTGGGGAAAAACGGTCAGAGAACAGTATAGAAACTGAAAGTGGGTAGGAGGCAAAGAGGGGATGTATTATTTGCATAAACCCTTTCTTTATCTCTCTGCTTTCCCCTGGCAACTTGCGTGTCCTCTCCCCTCCCCAGAGGCCACATTGTCCTCAGTCAGTTCCTCTCTCTTTTCATTACCAGGGGTTCCCTTTTTCTCCCAATGAGCTGCTAAGCTCAGTCACTTCTTAACAGATCCCCCAACAGAACTCACCTTGCTGAGAAAAGGTGAACCAACTGTCACGTTAGGGGGAACAAGTGCTGGCAGTTAGAAATGTAAGTGTGTGTAACTCTTTCGTGTGTATAACTTTAGCCCCTGCTGCTGTTGGAAATTGTCGATGATTGCTGGTCAAAGGGAAGGAAACCATAAATAAATAGTGCCACTTGTAGTGAGAGGGATGGTAAAGTAGCCTTTAGTGCTTGGGGTTTTAATAGATTCTCATGTATTCTTTTTTAAAAAACAGCTTTATTGAAGAATAATATACATAGCACAAAATTCACCCATCTTAAGTGTACAATTCAAGGACTTTTAGTAAAGTTACAGAGCTGTGCAACCATCACCAGGATTCTAGAACAGTTCCACCACCCTGAAAAGATCCCCGTGCCCATTGCCCGTATTCCCTGTTCCCTTCTCCAACCCCAGGCAACCACAAATCTACTTTCTAACCAATAGATTTGTCTTTTTGGACATTTCATATAATGGAATGTCATATGTTCTTCTGAGATAGTGTGAGGAAGAGAGAAATCCTTCTCCCCGTTAGCACATGGCAGTGAAGGAGTCTGGTTGCCACCAAACCTGGAACTTAACAGGACAGTGGGGTGGTGAATCCAGCACTTACTGGAAAGTGATCCTGAGAGAATCCTATATTTAACTCTGTTTTCTTTTATGTAAAATGAGAGTTGTGTATATGTGAAAATATTCTGCAAGCCACACAGTGCTATGCAAGTGTTTGTTATTATGTTTCCTGAAATATCTTTGGAAGGGTGTGTCTTTTTTAAGGAACGGAGAGTATTAACCTAAAAATACAAGGCCTTTCAAAATGAGAAACAACATGCATTGAGATCAGTAAGAATAACTATTTGGGAAGTTTTAATTCAAGCAGAAGCCCAAATAATGTTCCAATTAAGAGACAAAGGCAGTGGGTATTTGTGAGAAGGGGAAGGGGAACAATTACATCAATAGAAGGGGGGCATTTTCCTTGGTGCAGGTAACATAGTGATGTTAATTCTAAACAGTGCTTTAAATTTTTAGTCCAGTAGTCATCAGTCCAGTAGTCATAATAACTGCTTTCTTGTTATCTCTGCAAACAGTGTGTTGGGAAACAATATTGCTTTAGGCTCAGTCCAAAGGTTATTTTGCCCTGTTTTAAACATTCCAAGGTTTGAGACTTAAGACCTGCAAGGCTGTTCCTCTAATATGGCAAACCCAGCTCCATTTTAAAGTGGTTCCATTTATATTATTGTGTACAAGAGGAAGAAAAAAAATTTGAATTTTGCATTCACTGTTAGGCAGGTGGCCAGAGTTGCCTTTGGGGAACGTTCTTGGTCATGCTTAGCAGCCGCTGTCCAGCTACCTTTTGTGGAGGAAGTTTTACGATTTCTCTCCTAGTAAATTCACCTTTACAGAATGCATTTACAGGGGAGTAATTTTAAATAAATTGTTTTTAAGTCGTCACTTGTTCTACCTAATTTTATCATAGTTGACCTTGTGGCCACCCTATTGACTCTTAACCCTTTGCGGTCGTTTGTCTACTCTCAGCCACCAAAGCTTTTTTACCGTTCCGGCCGTATGTCTGCTCTCAGCCACCACAGCAAGGAACCGTACGAATCTTAACTCTATTCATTCATGTATCAGTTCATAATTTCTCTGAAAGCTCTTAATTCCGACCAGTACGACACCCATGTCCAAATTTAATACGACTGCAAAGGGTTAATTATTCTGTTATCTGTTTCTTAGTGACCAGACAGTAAACTTGGTTGAGTTATACTATTCAATTCTGATTAGAAAAGAGTTTGAAATGAAAGCATTTGATTGCTATACCTCTCCCTACTTATCTGCCCCCAAGAAACAGAGGGTAGTTCTGCCTCACCTTGAAAAGGTCACATTTCCTATTCTCAGCATTAATTGAGTATTAGAAAATGTTGAACAGGTGAGGCAGCTGCAGAGTTTTCCAGGTCGTCCATGGGTTGGATCATGACTTTTATTCCTTCTCTGTGAGGTGAAATTCCCAGAACATTAGGCCCATCTAAGCTCAGGTAAAAGTATGAAACATTCCTAAAACATCACATCACTGTTTGGGATTATTTACAGTCTCTTGTCTGTGCTACTGCGGTTTCCTGCATAACTGTGCTTCCCTGTTTCCACTGGTGCTGATCCATTTTCCACAAAGTGATCTTTAACTGTAATCAGATCATGTCACTCCCTTCCTTCACTGTCCAAGGGCTTCCTGTCACTTTTAAAATAAAATCTAAATTCCTTGCCTTGGATCGAAGGCCCGGCGTGGCCCGGAGTGTGCTCTCTATGCCCGCACTCAGCCACTTCATTTTTCCTTGCTCTGGGCATTTGCAGCTGCTCTTTCTGGTTAGAATGCAAGAGGCACTAAAGACAGATTAGAATATACCTGAACCTGCTGTGGATAAAGTATTCAAATTATTCAGTTCTCTCAAATCTAAGCCTAAACTAGACCAGAGATACTTAGGACTCTTAGATTTTAATTTTATCTTTAAAATGCACTAGCCTATTCATGGTCTCTCTTTCTCACCCTTGCCTTATCTCCTTTAACTTAAAACTAGAACACAAAAGACCACCTACCCTGCACATAAGATACTTTAATGCAGTGTCTTTAAAAAAAAAAAAAAAAAGGCTTTAAATGTATTATTTGTGTGGATGCAGCTTATAGTAAGAAAGTAGGAAGAACAGAATTCACTTATTTAACTAATGTGTCTTCAGGACCTTTGAAGTGGAAATCTAATTTTTTCACTCAATCAGTTTGGCATTGAAGGATCTTCGTAATGTGTTCCCATTAGTCATGCACTTTAATCGTGGTGGTGTATGGACCTAGACTCAGACAGAAATTCCAGCTCTTGAATTTACAGAACCATTTACACTTGGTCCAATCCATCATCTCTTGTGTGCCTCTATTTCTTCACTGGATATGGAGAGGAGTAAGTACCATCTACTGCCAGGTGCTCTGCTAAATAGTCTCTGTCTCTATTCTGTCCCTCTCCCTCCCTGTCTCTCTCTTTCTCTCTCTCTCTCTCTCTTATCTATCTATCATCTATCTATCTATCTATCTGTCTATCTATCTATCTATCTATCTATCTATCATCTATCTATCATCATCATCTATCATCTAGCTATATCTATCTGTCTATCTATCTATCTATCTATCTATCTATCTATCTATCTATCTATCTATCATCTATCATCATCTATCTGTCATCATCTATCTATGTATCTACCATCTATCTCCTCTCTGCAAGTATGCATATAAACTCTCATTTAATCCTTCTGACATCCCTGTGAAGAGTAGATGATACCTGTTCTACATGTGAGGAAACAGGCTCAATGAGAGAACTCACGAGCTCATGTTCATATAGTTTGTGTTGGTGGAGCTGGAATTTGAAACCAAGCCCGAGATTCCCAGGCCTGTGCACTTAGCTGTTGTACCAAACTGTCTTAGTTACATACCTCACAAGAAAGAGTTGTGGTGAAAATTAGATGGTGCAGTGAATGTAAAGAGCCTAGCATGGTGCAAGCCCCAGGCTAGTTGATTGGGGAAGTCTGCAGATACCTTGTAATACATGTGATAGACAGAAGAGTGGGCACTTCAACATGCTAAGCACCTGTGAAGCTTGAGTCCTATGTGCACTGACCAGCATTGTGGACTTAGACATGTCACTTGACTCTCTTGTTTCATTTGTAAAAATGAAGATGCTAATATCTAGATTGCAGAACTGTTATGAAGGTTAAGTGAGGTTAAACAATGTATGTAAATTCCATTCCCCCTTTTGCCTCCAGCTCCTATCCCCATTTCTGTGGTTTGGGGGAGGCATCCATGGGCTATAAAAGAGTTTGAGGTTATAGAAGCCTGTGTTAAATTCTAGCTTCTTCATCTGCCAGTTGTATTATGACTCCATGGGACATAACCTCTATGAACTTTATTTCTTTTATTTGAAACTGAAGCTTTAAATACCTACTTCATAGGGCAGAAAAGATGAGATACTACCTGTAAAGTGCTCCCCACCTCTTCTCCTTACCTGTGCCGCTCCTGCCCATTCTTCACGGTCCATTTAAAGGCAAAAGAATCAAAATCAGAACCCCACCTTCCCCGTGAGGCCTTTCTTAAAGACCGCAGTCCCGGCCTACACCCTTCTTCCAAATTCTTGCTGTCCTTATCTCTGTACCACCTCCCGCTTCCATTATGTTTACCAAATACAATTCAAGAGACGCCGGAAACACTCCAGAACTAAAATAACAGCACTAGTAAATATTTTAAACATCAGATAATAGAAATGTTAACATAAAAATGGAATTTATTAAATAAATGCAGAAAATTCTGTATTTTTTAACTTCAGGGATTTAAAGCTGCTTGGTAAAGGCTGCTTTGTAGGGCAACTAATATAGTGTGTTGGGGGGGGGGTGGAATTAGTCTTTCTGTTTTTAAAATTGGGAGACAGAATTTCCTGACATCTCTTGAAATGACTAGGGGTATCTGGGGAGATGACAAAACCTGGATTAAGCTTCTCAGATCCAGAGAAAGCACTGCATAGATTTTGCTCATGAATATTTTTTTTTTTTTTTTTTTTTTTTTAAAATTTTTTTTTTTTTTTTTTACTTTTAAAACTTTTATTTTTATTTTATTTCATGAATATTTTTAGTTCTGTGTTGCATAATAAGCCCTGCTTCTGGGTTTATTTATATGTAACTCTGTGTTTTCTTTTTTGTATTTTAGATGGAGCAGATTAAAAGGGCAAATAAACTGTTTACCAATGACTGTATATTTCTGAAGAAAACTTTGAACATCCCAATCATTTCAGAGAAGCCTTTGCTGTTTAATGGACTTAACTCAATTGATTCTCCAGAAAATGAAACTGTTGATGGCTGTTTTTCTCGTGAAGAAGGGCCGGTAGCTGCGGAAGACTCCTCCCCTCCCAGTCCCCAAGCATCTCCTGTTCAGCCAGTGCAGCCTCAGGAAGTGTCAGCCAGAGATTTCCTGCAGAGACTAGACTTGCAGATTAAGTTATCAACGCAGGCGGCCAGGAAACTAAAAGAAGAGAGCAGGTAAAAATATGCTGGTAAAGTGTCAGAGGCTGAATAAATTACTCTTAAGATGTTTTCACTTGGTCAGATTTTCTTTTATGGCTTTAAAAAACTATGTTTTAATTCCAGAAAGGCATTTTGAATATATGAAATCTAAAGAGGGCCACTGTATTCTACATAAAGCTTTATCTGTTGCAATGCTTTGTCTCTGTGATTATGAAAAGTTTGTTTCTTTGCTTTATAGCATAACTGTCCAGCTAACGATTCTGGATAGCAGCCAAGTAGACACAGGTAGTTGACGCCTTCAAAGGAAGCAATGCCCTAGAGAATACTTTGTAAAATGTTGATCCTTATAATATTTGTCAAAGACATTGTCCATTGCTTGTTTTCAGAATTTTTTTATGTAAGATCTTGTGTGAGTTTTTTTCAATTTGATACTTGGACAAACCTTTCTCTCTCCTATACAATTGGGTTTTTTCTTCCTTTATGATCCCAAGAATGGCACAACCTACTGAGCTTCCTTTTTTACCCTGACTGCCAGAAAGGTTGCAACTAAAATTGGTGCTCAGTTCAACCACTATAATATTTCTTATGGTTAATGTATTTGTACCCTTCTCTTTTCTTTAGCCCTGATTTTTATTTTCTATTTTATCCATATTATTATATGTATCCCCTTTGTCATAGGCATCTCAAATCCTTTTGAGAAAGAGGTGAAATAGTAAAAATATAAACAGAACTAAGAATGTAATTATTTATAATTTAATATAAATTTTATTACTTTATTTAAATGTAATATAAATATAAATATATAGCAAGTACTGTACTAGTCTTTTTTCCAATAACTGAGACACCAATAACATGGAATTACTAAAGTACACCTCAGTGAGTGTTTGCAATTCATACAGCTTTCAAGGTGTTCATGATATTGTAAGTGGATAACACCTGCACTTCTTTGGCAAGTGGATATTAAGTTGTGTGATAAATATATGTGTTAGTTTCCTGAATACAGTTTTTAAACACTGGTTTATGCTATATTCCTTTTTTTCCCCCCCAGAGATGAAGAAGACAATCCCTATGCAACTTCACTCTATCACAGTTAGATGAACAGGGAGCATAATCTCACCTGGATTAAGAGATGGTTGGATCATAAAGAAACCAACAACTGAAGATTCAAAAGCATCCCTTTTGGATTTTCAGAGTGTACATCTTTAAATCACAATTAAGTAGTTCCACCCCTGGCAGTTGCACTGAAGTGATTAGTTCCCTCTGGCTTTATAATTTTAAGTCTGCATTATGGCATGATAACAAAATTGTATCCCGAAGCTCATCACTTTTGCAGGTGGTGGTAGTTTTTAGACTTGCTTTTGTAAATACTAGTAGACAGAAAGCATCAAAGACTATTTACATAGTCAAGCTAAAAACGTTTATCTCTTGAGAATTCCTTTTATGTGAAAAACATGGTTGCTGTTCGAGTGATGCCGATTTTGCTATGTGTTTATAATTAAGTGCAATATATATATTTCGATATGTATTACATATTCTGTATTAATATAAAGAACCAAATTTTGTCTGCTATTTTGTAAAAATAAACTACCAAAGTCTGAAAAAAATAAACTATGTTTTTACATTTGAGTCTCCAATTTTTTTTAACAAATGAGAAAAAATTGATTTTAAGTTATATTTTTGAAATAGCGACAACTTTTTCCTCTACTTTTATGGCTTTTATTAATTTAATTGCAATTTTGAAAAAAGTTTCAATACCTTAAAAGCAAATCATCTGCGGTAAGTGGTAACCTTTGCATTTTCACAGTATTTGACTGATGTGTTTCAGCTGTAGTGAAACATGGACTCCGACAATAGAAGGAAAACGCAATACCATGACCTGACACATGGATGAATTCCAGTTTAGATGTCATTGATTAGTCACGTCACAGAGTGTTTTGCAGTCACTGTGCTCATTTGAATTAAGGGTTAGGTTTTTATTCACATAATTTCATTTGTTTTACTTTTACTATATGTATAGTTTACAGCGGGAAACCTTAAGCAATATATTATTTACAGTTAAGTATATTTTGGCCTCAATTTCTGTTCAACTGCTGGATTAAATAAATCTTTAGGCTTCCACAAAACTCCTCATGCTTGTTCCTCCCCAACATCGCAAAAGGGGGCTGCTCTCTGAGGGGCAAAAGGGACCTTTGCTTCCCGTCTTCTTTCCCTCTTGTCTGCAGAACCGACCTGCAGGACCTGCACGTCCAACCCTGGAGGCATGAATGGGAACAGCAGTTGTCTGTCCTTGTCTTGAATTTCTTGTTGGTTCACAACGTGCATAATCCCTTGTGTGCATGTTTTCCTCGTTATTTTTTCTCTCCTTTTTTTTTTTTCATGATAATGACAGCTCGTTTTTATTTCCTGTTTTTTTTCTGTCATTATCATCTATGATAGAGGGTGATCTCTCGATCATGCTTTGCTGTTTTCTTGTACTATCCTATTACTTGAACGATGGGGACTTAGTTGGAAGAAGAGAAAACTAAAAGGAAAAAATAAATGAAAAAAAGGAGAACAGCTGTGGATGGAAGAAAAGGCTCCGGCTCCATGGAGGACCAGGAACTTTGAAAAATGTGAGGTTATTATGCTGTTTAACATAAAATTATCTGAAATCCAAGAGTAATCCAAATGACCTAAGTCCAAAAACACTATCCCAAAGACATAACATAAGCTGAAAACTGAAATTAAGACCCCAATCTCAAAAACATTTTTCTGAGTATTTTATTTTTGCCCACGGGTCTTGCAGCAATTTCTAGCCAAAACATCTCTTCCCCTTTTTCAAGTTATCAGAAACTTGGACTTCGTCGTGGCTGCGGTGAAACTGGCCTGTCGAGAGTGCTTTAGCCTTGCCTGCGCCTGGTGGGATCGCCGTGGGAGAATGGACTGAGAGAGGAAACCTGGACTCTAGGTTCAGCTTTACCACTCCTCGGCCATAAGAGTTTGAGCATATTTTGTGTCCACATTTATTTTTTGTGAACCAGTTTTCTTACTTGTGAAACAGAACTGATGATCTCCCTTTTGTCTTGGTTATCGGTAGGAGCTAATGAATGTCAGTGTGCTCAGAAGGCTACAATAAACTCACTAAATAAATTTCTTATTTTTAAAAAGACTACGTAGATATTTAGATAAATTACAGAAAAGCAAATGGATAAAATGCTTTAGTCATAGCCAGTTTTTTCTCCGATGTAGAAGCAGCCTATGTGGACTACAGGACATGGGTGAAGTCGAGTCGGTCATGTTATCAAAGATGACTCATTAAAACAAGTCTGATTCGTTGGGCAAAGGTGTTTTTAATTCCCTCTCATCACTCTCCGATGAGTACTGGCTTCTCTAGAATACATTAAGTAAAGAGTTTAGTTTTTTGCATGTCAGGCTTTGGTTTTTGTTTATTTTTGCAGTTCTAGAGAGGATGGGAGGAGCAGCAGGGGCCAGCTACCCATGAAAAGCAGCCTCTCTCATTTTCTCTAAGTTCCCAGGTCTCACCAAAAAGTGGATGCCAACCAAGTAGGGGCATTTAAGACAGGTATCAGGCCATTTGAAACAGTGACAGCTACTACACGAAGCATTATATTATTTTTATGATTTTCAACCGAAATATACAGAAAAATATGTAATTTATACCTAATAATCCATTTTCAAAGCATCTTTGGTTTGGGAACATGCCCCATGAATGTTTCAGGAGGACCTGGGGTGACTGCGGTCCCAGGGCTGTGTCTGCGGTGGCGGCTGAGGAAGCAGATGTGCAGGGACACGTGGCACCTTCCCCCTTCCTCCAGGAGCTCAGGTACCGGCTTTGGTTCGCGGGGAAGGGAGTGATTTTTGTCTGTTTCTACCTGGCCGTCTGGCCCGATTGCTCTCTGTTGAGAAATCCTGGCTTGGATCAAGTCCAGCTTAGAAAACTCAGATCAGGCGGACATTTTTACCTTGCCTTATGTAAAGTTTATGACCTCATTTTCTGCTTGGAGAGTATAGTTATCCCTCTTAACAAACAAAACCAACGTCTGAAAACTCACTAATAGAAAATATTAAGAGTGGGGGGAAATTGTTAATAAATCCAGCAAATCCTACGCCAGTTTTTCAGGTTCCTTTTTGTGCCATTGGTCCTGATATAGAACCAGCAGGAACAGCCTTAGGGGGGGGAAAAAAAAGCAGCCCTGGCCAGTGTGGTTCAGTTGGTTGGAGTGTCATCCTGAACACCAAAAGGTCACGGGTTCAATTCCCAGTCAGGGCACATACCTAGGTTGTGGGTTCAACCCCTGTCCCTGTCAGGGTGTGTGCAGGAAGCAACAGATTGATGTTTCTCTCTCTCTCTAAAAAAAATCAATGAACATTCAAAAAAGAAAAAGCAGATAGCTAGCTACCTTCAAGCTAGAAAGGCTTTGAGGAAATGTGAATTTATTTCAACCAAAAGAGAACTGGTAGTGGAAAGGACATCTTGTAACAGCCATATGCTGTGAGTTGCTTTGGTCCCCAGCATGCCTTGAAAACAGAACCCCCAGTTCTTCAGGGGGTGCTTATATGTGTGACAGTGGGAAAAAGTTCAGTTTTAAGGTCAGTCCGTTTCAGGCTTTTCCAAAGCAGCACATCTCTGAATATAAAATGTAAATCTACAAGGAAATAAGAATTCTAAATACAAAATCTCAGCTTACATACAACTTTACTTTTCAGATAGTTTTTATGGCAAGAAAGTTATGTTTTAGCCATTTTTAAAAGGTTAACTACCATAAATCCAGCACTTTCTAATAACCCTTGGGTCAAAATGACTTTAATCACATTATTAGAAGAGTCAGAAGCTATATCATGTTTTCTGAAACAGTGGAAAGACTCCTGTATCTTTCTGCCATTTTTACAGGCTACTGTAAATACGCTTGATGGCGTCAGCTTCTTCTTTATCAAGGATGCCTTTCTCCACATAAGCATCTGTCTGTTGGTTGATGAAGTCCCTCATCTTTGAAAGGTCATAATCTGGAAAACATCATTAGGGCATCATGAGAAAGATCAGGAAAGAGCAATCCCCTTACAGTGATTACCATTAACCAAGAAGAGTTTTATACACCACCAGCCCATCTTGCATGCTAGGTCTTGGCATTTTTGCAGAGGTTTGCAGTTTAAAACCACGTGTATGTGTTATATTGGCTCATCTGCTCTCCAGCATCACGCCTGCTAGGTGTTCAGGTGGGGGGTACCACCCTCATCTGACCACGGAGGCTTAGGGACCAGGGCTTCAAAACTTGACTGTTTATACCAATCACCTGGGGCTCTTGGGAAGTTGCAGGTCTGCATTCTGTAGCTCCAAAGGGGGGCCCCAGATTCTGCTTTAAATTTTTTTTTTTTTAATTTTTCAATTACAGTTGACATTCAATATTATTAGTTTCAGGTGTACAGCATAGTGGTTAGACATTTATAGAACTTACAAAGTGATCACACCTGGTAAGTCTAGTACCCACCTGGCACCATGCGCAGTTATTACAATATTACTGACTATATTCCCTACGCTGTACTTTACATCCCTGTACTATTTTGAAACTGCCAAGTTGTGCTTTTCAATCCCTTCCCCTTTTTCATCCAGGCCCCTAACCCCCTTCCATCTGGCAACCATCAGTTTGTTCTCTGTATCTATGAGTTTATTTGTTTTGATTGTTCATTTATTTGGTTTTGGTTTTTAGATTCCACATGTAAGTTAAATCATATGGTATTTGTCTTTTACTGTCTGACTTATTTCACTTAACATAATATCCTTTAGGTCCACCCATGTTGGTGCAAATGGTAAGATTTCATTCTGTTTTTAGGCCGAGTAATATTTTATTGTATATATGTACCATATCTTTATCCAGTGGTCTATTGATGGACACTTAGATTGTTTTCATATTTTGGCTATTGTATATGAAATGTCCTTCTTTGTCTCTTATTATAGCCTTTGTTTTAAAGTCTATTTTGTCTGATATTCTGATATAACTATTGCTACCCCAGGTTATTTTTTTCATTTCCATTTGCATGAAATATCATTTTCCATCCCTTTACTTTCAGTCTGTGTATTTCAATATGAAGTGCGTCTCTTGTAGACAACATATATGTTTTCTTCACCACTCAGCCACCCTCTGTCTTTTGATTGGAGCATTTAATCCATTTATATTTTAAGGAATTATTGGTAGGTATGTAGTTATTGCCATTTTATTATTCATATTTTTAAAAATATTTTTTCTTCTTCTTAAGAAATTCCCTTTAACATTTCATGAAATACTGGTTTGGTTGGGATGAACTCCTTTAGCTTTTTCTTGTCTGGGAGCAGATACTGCATTTTGAACAAGATGCCAGGATATGCTGATGCTGCTAGTCTAGGACTCACACTTGGGGTAAGAAGATCCTAAAGCTTGTGTTCAAGGTCATACAGGTGGTAAAAGTTATGATCAGAACCAGGTGTTTTGACTATTTGAACTTGTTACACTGGTTAGTCCCTGTTGAGGTGACAACACACTTTTTACATTTTCCCCCCAAATTAATAATTACCTTGATTTTCACACCATTTGAACTACATGCATAGAACAAAAACCATAACCTCTTTAAGGTTCCTCTGTGCTACTTAAGCAAACAAACAAAAACCTATGTAAACCATCAAACCACCCACCAAAAACAGAGATCCCCAAGTAAGGAGGCTGCTGTGGCGCCTCCCTGAACGCTTGAAAAGAAACCCGCCTCTTTCCTTGATTCGTTAGGTATTATATGCTTATTACTTAAAAAGCAAAACAAAAGCATGAAAATAAAATGAAATCACCTGAATTCTATTAATCATAGATAACCACAGTTGGTATTCTATTTCCTTTTAGTTTTTCAAATATATCTATCTCACCCCAGAATTGAGATCACAGTGTACATACAGACTTACAGCTAACGCCTTTCATTTAACTTTACATGGTGAACACTAATATTCTTCAGAAACACCGTTGTTAAGGGTCCTGTGCCATACATCCTATGGAGATACCAAAATTTATGGCACACATCCCTCATGGTTGGGCATGAGGGTCTCCCACACATACAGTAAGTACTTGGGGAGACCCCTCCAGATTGTGAGTTGCTTAGGCTGAGTTTCTTGAGGACAGTGCCATGCACCTTGGCAGCTGGCGGCCCCTGGACCAGGGCCCTGCCTTCTTTCAATGTGTAAAGGGAAGAGAAAGGAGACAGTCAGGTACAAAGCTCACAGCATTCCATGGCCCCTTTAGCTAGCTTGGGTCCCTTGGGTATCTTTAAGTCCCTGCACGAAAAAAAAGAAAAAAGTAAGCCTGCCCTGGCCCGTGCGGCTCTGTTGGTTGGGTGCCGCCCCATGCTCTTTGATTCCCACTCAGGGCACGTGCCCAGGTTGCAGGCTGGATCCCCAGTGTGGGG